GAAACATGATAGTCCAGAACTGGCAAAATTCCTGTGGAGATCACTCAGTCTGAATGAAACCAGGGCCTGTTTGACTCCATACAAACAGAGAGAAAACATGAAGGCTTACAACAGCAGTAGAGCCTTATACAGAGCCGACGACCGAACTCCTCACCACAAGAGGAATGGATGAGTAACCCTAAACAGCTAATAGCTGGTGTCCCAAGAAGGACACCATTGAAGGGGGAAAGGTCAAGACCAGAGTAAAGCCAATTTGATGAGTATTTGACTCAATATTCCCAGCAGCTTTTAGTTTCTGCTGTGCTGTCTGCATATTTTGAGTTGGCCTGGTTAAGTGGCACCATCAGAAGGGAAACAATGAGCCTGGATTCAGCAAAATACTGAGGTCTTTTCCAAGATGGAGAAGACTGGGCCTATAAAACACTGAACAAGCTCAGATCCTATCCTGAGCAGAAGTTCCACAAGCTGTGCCCTGTCCCAGTTTCTTTCACATCATCTAGTTAGTGTGACACAGCAGCACTCACTTTAAAGAAAGACAGAAGATTGTACCTTCCCTATGTGTTATCTCTGCTGAAAGAAATGTCTTTCTTTGACACCATTTTGCACGTTTTGGAGGTTTTTTTAATTAATTAAGACTATTTATAGAATACTTGGTCTCACAGGGACCAAGTTCATAGAATCATAGAATGGTTTTGGTTAAAGGGTCTGTAAAGATCATCTCATTCCCAACTCTTATTCCCTGGTTTGTTCAAGGGCCAAACAGAGGAACAGTCACTGCTCAGGACCACTCTGGCTCTGCTCTTCCCAAGTGCCTGAAAGCCTGAGCTTGAGCCTAAACAAACAACATTAGCTTGTTCAGAAAGTTTCTATGCCAAGGACTAATGAATGTATCATATTTGCTGTGCACCTAGAGAAACAAAATCAGCTTGAATCAACTTGCAAGCACTGCACAATACTGATGGCTGCTGTTAATATGGTGAGAGCCAGAAGTATGGTGTTTGGCTTATCACCTTTAGAACAGAAGACACTGAATAGCAAGAAAGAAGTGGAGACAGCAGAGTGTGTGGTGTCACCACACACCTGTACTGCTGAAGGTACAGTCTAGGAAAGTACCTTTAAGTGGAGCTGACACCCACAGAAATTGTGGCAAAGCATAAAAAAGTGCTCGTTTCATGAAATGGGCAAAGCCAATAGTTTTTTCCATGGCTTTTTAGAAGTCAGATGCTAGTTAAAACCTGTGTATATGTATACATTCCTTTATATGGATAATTAGCTACTTCATGTGTGGCGCCTCGTGGATTAAAGAAAATTCTTCTATGCAAATAAGTGGAATAGACTGGTTAAATTTATATGTGTAAAAACCCCCACTTTTATATAAATGTGTAGAATTTATTTAGGTGAGCTTCTTATTTCACAGACAAGTCTTACTTCCAAGACAGCCAATGGGTACATAAAATGTTCACTCTTCATTGTCCTCTTAAACAATGCCTCTATAAAAACACTGAGGATAAATGATTGATAACATATTTAAATAAATGAGAAAAAACCCCACATGTCTTGGAATTGACTTTTTGCTTTTTCCACTAAATGCTCAAATCATCTCCTTTTGGAATCAATGGCAAAACTCCATTGATTTTTAGGGCTGTATTTTCACCCTACATTCTTCTTTTTCAGTAATAAGTAGATTTGACCCAAGTTTTTCTGAAGATACTGCTTTCAGCTATTTCTTCTGTTCTACAGAATAACTGAGTGGGTTGATATTTAAGAATGAAAGCTCATCAAGTTTAAATTTCAGTTGTTTTATAATAATAGCCATATGTTAGTTATGGATCGTGTAGGTCTGAAGTTTTGGTAATTTAAAACTGCTTTAAAGTGACCTTTACATGGTTCCACATTTCAACATTTTCTAAAAGCAGTCGGTAGAGGTTCTTACTCATAAATTGTTGCATTACAAAGTCTGCAGGCCTGGGCCCATAGTAAGGAAGAGGCTCACAGTAAGGAAGTCCTGTGAACATTTATACACACAGCTAAACCCAGAAATGGAGTCTTCACAATGAAATCCACATAACTGTTCTCAGACCAGGATGAAATGCCAACTTTCAAAAAAGGCCAGTAGCTGTTAGTGTTGGAGACAGGACACAAAGCAAGACGGACCTTACACAGTTGTTGTGCTCTTCTCTGGTTAAACAGTGCAAGAAGACAAGACAGTGTGGGAAATACTTTCTCTTTTTTTCACTGGCAGCTAGTCAGGCTGGGAAGACAGTGATATTGGGGGCAGTATGAAGGTGTAGCTCAGCTCCATTACCACTGCCTGATTTCTGCCATATGATTTCTCCCTGAATTCCCAGCCACACTGCAGCTCATCTTGCCTTTTGGTTGGGCTGCTCACAATCCTACAATCTCTTATTTCTTTGCAGTGCTCCACACCCTATTCTGCTCCATTAATTTGTGTGTCATTCCTTGCATGTCTGAGATCTTCCTCAAAAGCTGTATTATTCCTGTTGTCCACACTTTGCCTCTGACTTTCTATCTGACTGAATATTTCCACTGTTACGGTAAAGGCATTTCATTTTTGGTATTTGAGGATTTTCACCTCACATCCCAGAACCTTAAAAGTGTTTTTATTTTGATAACAGGGAAACAGAAGCACATCAGCTAAAGCTATTTCCCAGAGACTACACAACATGTGTACAGCAAGATATAGACTAGAACCAAATCTCCTGACCCTTCCTTCTAATGCCTTGGTCTTTAGGCATGAAGTGGAAAATAACATAACAGAACTAAAAAAGCCATTTAAAAAGTGCCACACTCAAGATCAAAACAAGTTTTGATATGCTGACAAAAAGGAAATGCTGATTGAAATCTGCCCTGGGTTGATTGATATCTTAATAGGCCCTTAACTTCTGTGGAATTTTGTTACTTCTCCCATGACATTAAATTTTAAAGTGCTGTATGTGCAGCACTTTTCCCATGAATAAGAAAAATACCATCCATCTGGCAGTTGACCAGATTTCTTTTTCTTTTTGTATACTACTATCTTCAATGCCCACCATGATTTAGACATCTGATATATTTGAACCTATATTAGATGTTTTCAGTGAAAACCCACAGTGCAGCATTGGGAATCCATGTAGCTCTCACTAAATACTATTTCCTAGCTCACAGTTGTGAAGATTCGCTTTTAAATTTCCTATTAAATACCTCTGCCTCCTCAAAAGTTTGGTGTTCATTTGGCCCTAAACCCTTCAAAAGCTTTAGCACAGGCACGCAAGTAATTCCATTAACACATGTAAGTCCACTGATAATATAGTAGGCAGACACACATATGTTTGGAGAAAAAGACCTTCTTCAGGAATTAAAATATTTTTTGTAATTTTTTCATTTTCTTTTGCAAAACTCCAGCCTGGGAAAAGAAATTTAAATGGTGTACAAATTCGAGGTAATAAGATCAAGCTCTGATTTCATTTCATTGTTACACAAAATGTTTGCTAGTCTTAAGAAATGGACAAAAACCATTAGGCCAGTTACAAAAATTTGAGACCCAATCCTGTAATCAAAGCATCTTTCATTAATTCAAGCAGAGGAAAACCCAGCCTTTGGAATAAATCCCTATGTATTTTCAGTATGTTTGTAAATGACAGTCATGTAATTAAACATCTGAATACTTCCAGTAATTTTTTTGTGATACCTGTGGTGGCCAGAAATATTACAGAACTGTTTACAACACGGTGCAGCAACAGCAACACACCACATCAGCCCTCAGAGACATGGCAGCACAGAGATGGACACACGCCTGTCCCATGTGCTGACCCTGCAGTGCTTCTAGCCCCAACACCCATCCAAGCACCATGGGATGCAAGAGGATCAAAACCACAGCTAACAAGGACCTGTCCGTAAATAGATGTCAAACCAACTGCATTATCGCTTTAAATTAATAACATACGAGAGGAAAGTTATATAACAATTGCAATTGGTCACTCCACTTTTTGGAAAAATAATGCATGGCTATGCATTGAGGCACCCCGGACAGTGTTTCCTTTGTAAAATGCACGAGGGTGCATTCCAGAGGGACCTGACCGGGATGTTCTACGGGTGCGACCTGGACCCTTACAGGCCCGCTCAGTGATGCTGCATTTCCCGGGGCCGGGGACCGCGGCGGGACCGGGGCGCCCATCCCGCCGGGCCGCGCTCGCCGGGGAGCGGCAGGGAACGGCAGGAGGAGGGAGGCACTCGGGGAGACCCTCGGAGAAGCCCCATTGTTTAGATTTCTGTCATAAGCCATGAGAATACTTAATTTCTTTCATCTCTGGAGTTTTCATTATCATTCAAATTTCATTTTCCATTAATTGATCGGGGATTAGCGAAGCCATTATGCAAAAATTAAAAGACAAGCCAGATGCGATGAATAATTCATGAGGGAAAATTACACTTTATTCCTGGTGCACTTCCTAACTTCCCTCCGACTCCCCGCCTGCTGCAGATGACAGCCTTCCCTCCCTCCGGAGCTGCCTCCCTCCCTGCGGAGCGCGGGCGGCGCGGGGCGCTGCGCTGCCGCCGCCCGCCGCTAGGTGTCAGGCGCCGCCCGCGCTGCGCGGGCCCGCGGAGGCGCCGCGCTGCTCCCGCCGCTCTCACGATCCTTATCGGAGCCTCCGCCGGCGCGCCCGGCTCGGGCGGGAGCCGTGCTCCGTGCTCCGTGCCCGCTGCCTTTTTTACCGCCCCCCGCACCCCCTCCCGCCGCCAGGGTGCCGGCCGGGAGCGGGAGCGCGCGCTCTCCCCGCCCCGTCATCCGCGCGTCCCACACCCCTCACACCGGGCATCTCATTTATCCCACCGGACAGTTGTTGCCCCATTAAAGCGCAGTCCCGCCCTTCGCGGAGGACCTTTCATCTAGGGAAGTTTTATGACACTTTATAAATGTGCAAAGTTTTTAATTAGACTCGCCAGACAGCCCCAGGCAGCACTAGCGCCACGAAGTCTTCATGCCGCTCTCTGCTTTACAGCACAACAAGCCGCTCTACTCCTTTGAAGACAATGCCGACTATGTCTACGATGTCATGTGGTCGCCAGTGCATCCCGCGCTCTTCGCCTGCGTGGACGGGATGGGGCGCCTGGATCTGTGGAACCTGAATAACGACACCGAGGTGAGGCGGCTCGGCGGCGGTGGGAAGGCGCGGGCGGGCGGGCAGCGGGGCGCCGGGCGAGACCTTAACCCTGTGAGAGCCGGCACTGCCCGGCACCCTCGCCATCCTCCCCGCCGGGCTCCGAGGGGCGCCGCGCTCCCTCGGGGCGGGGACAACCCGGCGTCGGCCGCCGCCCGCGCCCCGGGGCGCGGCGGGGAGGGGAGGGTACGGGAGGGCAGGTCCCGCTGCCGGGGGCGCCCGCCCGTCCCCCTCTCCCGCCTGCCGTCCCTCCTTCCCTCCCTCCCGCCTCCCTCGCTGCCTCCCCTGCGGCGGGGCTGGTGCGCTCGGTACCTGTCAGGGGCGGGAGCGCCGGCTCCGGCACCCCCGGCAGAAAGCCAACGCAATTAAATGCCGCGGTGCCGGCTCGGGAGGAGGCTCCTTCCCCCTCTGTTATTTTAAGGTGCACTTTTAAACCGCGCCCGTTCTGCAGGTTTGGGTTTTTTTATCCCCTCACCCCTTTTCTGACGCTCCGAGAGGCAGGTTAGCCATTCCGGCCCCAGCGCAGGGGTCACACCTTGGCCGCGCCACCGCTGACTGCCAGCGGGACCGGGCTCCTCTTGGACTGCGGGACTTGCTCTCCCTCTGAATTTATTTATCCTCTGCGACACATTCGCTGGGGAATGTCACTTGGAAGCTCCATGCCAGTGCCTCCAGAGTATCAGAAACCAAGCGTGTGCCCCTGCATCTCCCCTCACATCCTGCCTTTGATTCGCTTGGTACCCTGCTTCAGTCTTCTAAAGCGCAGGGCATCTCTCTCACATGTTATTTAGGGCTTTACGCGCTCACCCCTTTTTATCTTTAAACTTTGCTGTGGAACTTAAAGGTACAAATGCAAATAACTACCTTTTCACCGCTATTAGCTAAAGAGTGGGGATCATTGGAAAGGAAAGGTCTCGCGTTTGAACTTCACTGGTGAGAAAGGATTAATCAGAGCACTTTTAGCAAAGATTTAGACTGATAAACACTGTTTTTTAAAAAGTATCTTTCTGAAAAACATCTGGTTTTTCCTCTTATTATTTCAAATTTTTAAAAACACCAGAGGCTTAAATTGATACTGGTTTTTTTGGATTTGCGTTTCACCCAAAAATGATTTTCAGAAAACCTGTTATCACCTGAGGTCAATCTTAGATGGCCAGTAATCAATTTCCAGCACAAAAATTGAACTATTTTTCCACTCAATAAGTCTTCCTTGTTTTTACATAATGCAATGTAAAACTAAGAACAAACAGACTGTAAAAAAATCAAAGGTCATATTAGCTGGTGAGTTTCTTTTTATGTCCCAAAAAAAAGAGAAGATGGAAGAACAAGCAGCAGTATTTTCCTCCTTACACCCTATTTTTAATTTTTTTTTTTTTTAAGATTAGTTGGATCATTAATATACCTTTCACATAAACCTGCTATGCATTTCAGTCAGAGTAAAATACGGGCGCAGTTTATGGCTTCCAGTGAGTTGTGCTTACCATAAATAAGCACGGACAGGTAAGAGGAACCAGCACCGGGCACTGCACTGTCAAGGGGAGCACAGAGGCCTTTTGAAGTGCTCTGAGCAGGAAGCAGTGCAGCCTTTTTAATTAGAGCACATACAGCTGGAGGATATTCAGGAGGAGTCTCCTAAGAATTTATTTTGGGAAGGGAGGGACATATCCTTCAGGTGTTCTCATTAATGCAGGCTTAAACACAGAGCATAAAACCCAGCATTTTGAGAAGAAAAAAAACCCTTTCCCCCCCAAGTACCGGGGCTGAAATTGAAATCAACTGATGTTTTGCCATTTTACTCAAGGAGGCCATAATTTCATTCCAAAAAATTAGTCTGGACTGCTTGATCCCATTCCCATCAATAATAAGGCTGTACGTAGCAAACCGCTGCTGCTTTCAGTATGTTTACATATAAATATATAGGAACATAAAAAAAAAAAAAAATTAATTTCAAGCTTCATCCTGCTTTTATTCTGCATACAAGGCCACCCCCTGATTTCACAAATTATTTCCATTCTCAGAGGTCAAAATCAGCTCTCATGTAGGATCAGACTGGAATTATTTCCATGGTATCCAAGCTTTGTGTTTTTATGAGAATCAAATTTGGGTCTCTGGACACAGAAATATAATTTGCTTTCCTTGCTGAGCAGTGATGAAACAAATAAAAAAATCAGTATAAATTATAAACTGGCAGATTCTGAATAGATGTGAAGTTTTGTTATGCAGGAGAAGCAGCAAGAGTATCTCTGAAAGAGAGACCTGCAAACAGTTCTTGTAAGCATCGTAAGTGAAAGTGATCGTTGTTTGCTTTTACGCTCTATCTGGTAGGTCATAATTAGCTAATAATTTTCCAGATTTCTGTAATTGATTATGCCCTTTAAGTCTGCACAGCTATTTGCTAAGACAAACTCCTTGTCAGCACTTCTGCCTTTGTAATAAGAGATCTTGAAACACCTATTTTTTAGATCGTTATTACTTTTAGATGTCAGATATGTGATGTCAAAGTATTTGTGAAGACAGTAGAAAATGACAGGTCTATTACTGTGTTTAACTGCTAGCTATTGATGAAAATCTCTGTGTAAGAACTAGATGTGATTGTTGTTAAGGAGTCCTGGCTTTGTTTAATTTGGGGAATAAGCCACATTAATATTTAGGTATCATTTTGAAAATCAATTAAGAAAACACTTGGGTTTAGTTACAATATGCTACCTTCAGATTTTTGAATCTCAGCAGAGTTTCCACTAGTGTTGCTGTTGGTATTTATTGGAAACATTTTTCCTGAGAACTAGATGCTTTCTGACCAAATAACTTAGATCATTGGACTGTACCAAGGACTTAATCAGTGTAGTAATTATTTTCAAAAATCTCATTGCAAAGTTGCAAGGCTATTGGTGTACTTCATGTTTATTTCTACATATCAGAAATTATTTTTGTAATAGCAAGGAAAATTACCACGTTTTATTTTATATCTGATAAATGCATATTAAAAAAAGTTGAAAAGAAAAAAAGTCCTTACCCACTCCATCATTCTTTTGCAAACTGAATATTATTTTTATGGATCAGTGTAGTGAGGTTTGCAAAAAACTTCAGGATAGCAAATGCTGATTTCTTACTAATGTATCTGTAACATTTATTTTTTGATCAAGATTGGAGAAGATCTGTTGGTGCTTGATCTTATTTATGTATGAGTTGATACGAAACTGACTTACAAAGTCGCTTATTTCTTCTGTGTTATCCTCTCAGATGTCATCCTGTTCAGATGTTTCTCAGGTTTTTTGTATATTGTACCTTAGCTTTTAAAGTGTGAGGATGGTGTCTATATCTAGAAACAGTAACAGATGTATTTGCAAGCAGGTTTTGACACTACACAGGCACTAAGAATAATAATAAAAAGCTGTATTCTTATCATGCAGGTTTTTCTGACTGCATCTTTCTTAATCTGTTATCTGTTAAAATTTCATTTCAAAATTGTTTAAAATCTGACAAGCACCAACTTCAGAGAATTTATAAGGTATTTCAAATGTGATTTTAAAAACATAATGCTACCATTATAAATAAACTCTTACCTTGAAATCTAAAATAGGCTTGTGTAATTTAAACTATCACTACTGAGAACTGACTAATCTATTTTAAGATACTATGGTTTGACTATGTTTCTCTTCATATCACTGGAGAAAAGGTTTAATCTTTGGATTTTTAAAGACTGTTTCAGTATTGCTTTTTATTTTGTTAGATAGCTTTGTGGATTAGTAACAGGATTTTTCAAAACCATTAGGTTTTGAAAAAAAGCATGGGTTGTGTCTTGTGTCTGCGGCATTCATGCTTATTTTTATGTGGAGCACTGAAAGAATGCTGTATTAACAACAACAAAAAGTAAACCCCCAAAAACAAAAACCTAAACCATCCCCAGCTCTAGAGTTATGTATTACAGTCTTCTGAAAGATTTTGTGAAAATTCAATGCCTTAAATGTGCACTGTATATTTGTACATGAAACATATATCTGTGATCTGCAGTTTTCTGAGAAATGTAGCTGGTTAGTGGCTTAGTCCTCTAAAATGTGGCATTTAGCTCTTTGGAAAAACCCATTCCCAAATGTTATGAAATTAACTTTGTCTGGATTTTTTTTTTTCCCCTCAGAAATCTGTGATCACAGCACTAAAACTTGCTTGTTTTCTATTGTGATTTTTATCATGGATCAATGACTCCATGTCAGCTTAAGTCCATTGGCTCTTCTTAGGTAACAGACCCGGGACAAGGAGTTAGTGCACGCCAGCTTTTTTGGGTAATACTGCCTTGGACAGGACCTAGGCCTTGCACAATGGCGAGATGAGTCCAGTAGTTATTTGCATTTGAATGACTTCCTGAAGGGGGGGAGGATGGTATCTGCTTTCTGATTGGTATCCAGCATTATTTCTACATGATTCTTAGTTCTGCGAACAAAATCTTCCTGCATTTCTCTTGTGGGGCTCAGGACACTACTGTGAAGCCCTTTGCTGAGGTGATGCTTTAGCTGTGGCAGAATCCTTATGCTTGAGGTGCCAGTTGGTTTGGCACCTGGTGTTAGGGTTGGTGAGGGGGAGCAGGGACCTCCAGGGGGAGAGTCAAGGGAAGCAGCCCGGATTCCAGGTCCTTGTCCAGCTGCTGGCGTGGCAGTGCACGTGCTGCGGTTGTAACAAGAGTGTCAGCAAGTCTGCAGAGGTTTGGCTTCCTGCTGTCACTCAGCTGGTGTGGCACAATGAAGGCATTAGGGCTGAGGAGGAGACTGGCATAGGAGCTGTACAATGTTCATTTTAAAATTATTTTTCTCCAGGATCTTTAGACCTGTCTCAGTTCTCACAGTCAGAGTACAGAGATGAAGTCAGCAAAGTACTGGTTTTGTTAATCCTGCCAGTTTGTCAGTGTTCAGACCAGGGTTTAGTATGACCTTCAAGCTGCTTTCTTCCTGCTCCTGCTGCACTGTACTGCCAGTGAGGACAGAAGGAGTACCTGTCACTCCTCTCAGGGTAGCCAGGACTCCAGTTCTTGTCCAGCTACCTCTTTTTAACCTGCAGTGCTCCTCTCCATTCTATGCCCATTTATAGATCCTGGGACACTCCCTTGTCATCTCACAATGTTACCGAAACCTTTTCCCACCAGATGGATGCAGTGGAGGAGTTGTTTTTGCATCTATCCTCTCCCATTCGCCTTGACCTAAAAGGCAGTGAAACTCAAAAGCCTTGTTTGGAAGACTGTTACGCCAAGCTACAGGCTCCTTGCTCGGGCAGGTTCTCTCCTATTAAAGGCAGCTGGGTGGAGCATTAGTAGGCTTGCAGGTTACTGTCATTTGTCATATGAGGTGACCTAAATCAACTGAGTGATCCACCTATCTGGGACAAACACCCACTCAGTTCCTTCCTCCTGCAGCATCTTTTGATGCCCTCATTCCAGCGTAGATGACAAATACTTCTCTTGAGATCATGTTCAGTGCTTTATTCATCCCACGCATTAACCAGAACCTTTATGTGTTCTTGTGGATCACCTGTTGAGTTGGTTGACTTGGGGCAGGGAGGGGGTTTAGGAATTAGACAGCACCCAGGTGTATTTAAAGCAGAATTAATGTCCTGGGGATGTAAAAGAGAATTGTGGGAATATATTGTAGGAGTTCCAAAATGTCAGCTCAGCTGTTCTCACTTCTGCCGTGTCCTCGCTCTGAAGTGATTAGCTCAGGACTTTTCTGATAGAATGCCTAAGTTTCAACCTCTGCATCTAGCCACAGAGGTGAGTCTGGATTCAAAGGATGTGTCAGCATGAATAGAGAGATGTGTCTGCTGACTGTCAGGTTATCTGGGCTTGAGTCAGAAGCCAGGCCAGGACTGAAGCCAAATCCTGCTCTCAGTTGGTTCTTGGTCATGTTAGTGACTTTTGAGAAAAAAAGTATTTGGTTTTGCATGATTCCAGGACTAAAGGGGAAGACATGGTTTCACGTACTGCCCTTTACTGTTCATTCCAAGCAATCTCTTACTCTTGTCTCTTTTTAGCACGTCATCAAAGAAACAATGAACCCTTTTGCTTTTTCTTCTCACCCCAATGAGAGTTGTTTTCTTCTTCCAGCAATGCTAAGGGACTTCGACTCATCCAGGACATTCAAAACTGACCCCTGGGTTTGTAGGCAGTGTGATTTTTATTGTCCTTCCTGTTCCTATTGTTCCAACAGGTTCCCACAGCCAGTGTCACCATAGAAGGAGCGTCTGCCCTCAACCGTGTCCGCTGGGCCCAGGCTGGGAAGGAGGTGGCAGTTGGTGATTCAGAAGGCCGCATATGGGTCTATGATGTCGGAGAGGTATCTTCTGTTGGGATTCTTTTATGGTTTGTTTGTTTTGTTGGGGATTTTTGTGTTTTGTTTCTAAGCTCAACTCCTGGAGATTGCCACATCCAAGTTTAAGAAAGAAATCTGTCTTCAGTGGAGTCCTCATTGAATTTCTATTGCCAGCAGCGTGTTAATCATAATGTTACCTTGCAAAAGAGTTAACTTGTTGAAATCTCATGAGAGAAATCTCTTTTTAAAGCTTCTAGTATTTTTCAAGCTGTTTTTAAATAATGATCCTGTGGGTACATTTGGAAAAAGTTAAAAGAATATAAAAAATTGAGGTGCAAAAAGAGGCAGTGCTGTTCTAAAATTGGCCTTAAAGGGTTCACCTTTTATACTCCAGTATCTCTTATTTTATGACTGGCTTATTGCTGTAAGTTTTTGTCAGCATGACATGCATAGAATGCATCTGTTCTTTTGATACTGATTCATATGTCTGAATATGTGCAAAAGTACTAACAGGAGGAAATGAGAGGTGTCATTTTGAAGGATAGTAGGGGCATGCATGATAGACTATAGCAGGATGCATATTCTGTGTTTAAGGCTGCTCTCAATTCACCCTGCTACAGCTTATAACAAGTATCTAAACTGCAGTGTGTTTGGCAGTGATGAATCTAACTCTTTGTTGATGAATACAGTGTAAATGTGTTCCATCGGCATTACAATCCCTTGGAACAGGTAAGGGTGAATCTCTGAGCAATCAGCTTTTATGTAGAGAATTTGTTTTCCATCATTATCTGTGATAGAATACTGAGATACCCATCTCTACATAGTAGGGAAACATTATAGAATGCATACAGAATTATCTGTAACTCTCATAAAGTGATTTTATGGCCCATAGCAAAATTGCTTGTACATGACTCATATTTTTGGATTTCATTCTCTAGTGCAGGAGTTGCCCTTCCTCACAAATGTTTGCTGAAACCTCTTGCCATGTTGTTAGCATAATCTCTAAATTGTCTAAGGTTACTGTGCTCAGATTTCCACTGTGACACTGGCTGGTCAGCTGTTTTTATTTATTTTTCATTTTGCATGATTGTTCTGTCTTTCAAGTGATACGACAGGCTGTGGAAATGTCTTTGATGACAGCACAGTCTGATCTTGTCTGAGAGTCTAGACAGGCTGTAGAAATGTCTCTTTTTGCATATCATACACCAAATCATTCATAGGATTATTTACTCCTGCAAGTTCACCCAGAAGAAAAAATAGTGTTCTATGCAGAAGTAGCAATATGGAAGTTTTTGACCTTTCCTGTGTGTAATAAGACGTCATCTTGCAAAATGAGTCATAGTGATACACTCAAATAAAAAAGAAAGACAGGCTTCTATTACTTGAAAAAGAAAACAGAGTCGTTCAACAGTATTGATTTGTGTGAGTCCAGTTCAGTGTTACATAAAGAGTTCTGCTTCAGGGATGTTGCGTGCCCTGCCCTTGCAGAGCCTCAGTGTCTCCAGCTCAGCTCCGTCTGTGCTTAAGTAAACCCATGGATGTCTGTCCACACGGCTGCTGAGAGACCATTGCCAGTCCTGCTCTGCTGTAATGAATGAAGGAGCTCATTAATTTGTTGCCTGGTTCAGTCAGGCAGTATCAGTCTCTGCAGTAATTCCTGCGTGAAATTTAGGACAGGTCATCTGGGCTGCAGCGCTGCTGGGGCTGCTGTGTTGTTCGTGCCTTTTTCTGGTTTAAAAGAGAAGGGTGCTCATATATTCTCTAGCCCAGCTGTTGCCACTGTAGAGCCTCCAGTGAGATACAGAAATACTTTGCAGATCAAGAGCCTGGAACCAAGGGCATGGACAGTGAGTAGCAGCCTCTTGGGTCATTAAGCCTGTGGGCCAGTCTGTAAAAAGCTCTTTGATGAGAGATTCTGTCATTAGCTGTCCTCAGGCATGATGCATGGCGGATTCACAGTGCACGGACACCCTTGGAAGTGTCTGGTACAGAAATATGGCAGCCTTTAAGGATTTTGCTTTACTTCACTGTGCAGACACTGGCCAGTTTTTGGCTCAGCTGGGGTCCTCCTTTGACCGTCCTTTTTGTAGGGGTTTGATTCCGGGGTCTGATGGGGCTGGTCTGACAGTTTAAAAAGAAAAGTTCTTCCCCTGCCAGCCATCCTTAGCCACATTCCTTGCTGCCCAGTTTTTGTGCAGGTAGAAGGGCTTGTCACCACTCATACTGTGCAGAGAAAGACAGATCAGTAGAGAAGTATTTATTTGTTTTGTTTTCTTTGGGCTGTTTTTCTCCATGAAATGACTCATGTGGGAGTAGGCAAGTGAGCACATAGCTGGGATCAAGGGGCTGGGAGCTGGACTATACAGCACCCAGCAGAAGCTGACTTTCATATTTGACCCAGAATATTGCAAATCCTGACACTAAGCTCTGAAAGTTGACCTTTCAGCAGCAGCACTCTCCTTGTCTCCTACAACATCACTTTCTGAAAAGGCCTCATCACTGGAAGAACTCATCTCTGCCTGGCTGATAACTCAGTAGCATCCACTTCTTTGAAGGTGCATCTCCCTGATTTGGGAAGATGGGTGTGATTACATGCATTAGAAAGTCAGGAGGCCACTTTACAAAGACCCTAAATACACTCACCAAAATCAATAATGCTCCACTTATACTGCACCCTTTTAAAAACCTTTGTTTACTTGTGGCTGTTCCAAATGTCACATTAGATCAGCTGTAAATTCATAAAGCACTGGTTCCAGCAGAAGAAAAAATACTGTATTTGTATTTTAATACAGCATCATATCTTTCAATTTCACCTTACTAGAGAAAAAGTTTTTCTTACCTGTTTATTAGACAACATTGACTCTGTGAATTTTAATCAGAGCATAAAACATCAGGCTATCAACCATTAAGGAAAAAATTAAGTGGTAAGAATTTTTACTTTGATAGATTCATCACGGTTTTAAGGAACTATCCTAGAGAGCAGTAAAGTTTACTGCTGCTATTAACCCATATGGTATAAAAAGAAAACATATGACCTAAGTGAAAAACATAAGACATAAGGCCTAACCTTGCATCCTTTGTGAAGGTAAGGACTGTGGGATCAGGGCTGTTTTCACTTGTGCAGGAATTTAGGATTTGACCCATGTTGATATGTTATCTAGTCATGGTCTTTATGACAACAAGAAATGTCAGGCACGTGAAGAACACGGCAGGGTCCATGACCAGGGAGTTAAAAATAATGGTGACAGTTTCAGTTAGGCTATATAGTGTTATCTCCTTTGACTATGTACTTTTAGTTGTTTGATTTTGTCATCACATCTGAAAATAACTGAACACATTTATTTTCACAGTGAGGGGTCTATTTTCTCTGCTATGTGTGTGCTTTTTGCCCATTAGCATTAATGGGAGTTACACACACACAATTCCAGCAGAGAAGAGACTTAAACAGTCCATATAGATGTGCTCTTGTGGATCAGTAAGCAACAGTTTTAAAGAATGTGAATTATGAAGTGAAATAAAAACCCAAACATGCAAAAATCTGATTGTTTCAGTGTGATGGGATCTTAAACTAGTACATATTACCAATCATTGTATATGCACTTCAGTCTCTGTAAGATCTAAATATTCAAACTTCTGCTGGCATAGTAGTTGTGATATTATCATTGTGATAGCTTGTATAATATATTTTAGCTCCTGTGGCCTTAGGGCTTCTTTACTGGGCAGCATGTTTTCTGTATGGAAGAAGCTGATTTTAACAGAGCATGGCCCACTGCCTATAGATTTATTCACATGTTCAGGTGATTGATAGTTAGACCTAACTGCATGTCTGTTTTGCAGATCTGTTTTCTAGAAAGCTTGCTCCCATTGTGCACGCTTCAGTGATGTTACACAGTGCCTGCTGTCATAAATATTCTCTAACAACCATGTTTGTTGCTTACTGTGCTTATTGCAAATGCTCTTTGCACCTTTGCTTGTAAAAGAAGCAGCTTCTCATCCACCTTCTATTATTTCTTTTTTTTTCCCATTTATCTCTTCCAGGTCATATTCTGCTTGTACTGTGAGTACATAGATAGAAACTGTGAGTCAATGACTTATTATTTCATTCTAATAAAACATAAAACAAGTTTGCAGCATAGGATCACAGAATTTGAAACTGTAATCACAAGGAGCATAATGCAGTACATTATTTTGCTGAAGTGGTTACAGGACAAACTATTGCATCTGTTTGGCAGTCTTTCAGACAGTTAGTTCTAGTCATGCTTTTAAAAGGCAACTAGTGTTGACAGGTGGACCGGAGAGAAGAAAATGTCTTTCTCAAAGCCATCCAGGAAGACTGGCTCAGCCAACAGAGCAGTTACCTGGGATTTTTTGTACAGTTGTTACCTCTGTCCTTGTTTCCTGGCAGTGAAATCAGAATCCCATGGATGTTTATGTTTATGTGACTTTGGTAGGTTTCAGAGTTAATACTGCCTTAAGGCTTTTTAGGGCTGCTGTGTTAGGTTGTTTGTGTACTTCCCCATTTGCTCCATCGTAGGTGTTAATCCCATATCTCATTTTCAAGTACATGACCAGCAAGGGAGGATCTGATAACTGCCCTGAAGTACGTGGAAGAAGTGGTACAGTAAGGATATCCTGCTGGTGCCTATAAAATAATTTCCTTTGATTCCAGCAGCCTTTAACAGCTGCTCTGAGATTCTTAGAGTTCTAGACAGAAACAAAAGTATATTTGTGACCAGCTCTCACATTTTGGTATGACTACTGAGTCACTTTTTTTTCTGGCTAGAGTGGGGAAGCTTTGTACTTTGTACATCTGTCTTGTGATCCCTGTGTTTCACTGTAGATTTCATATGGAAAACACATATCCAGCATCTCTTTCATGCAGTTAAAAACTGCTGTAGCCCAGAGAGAGAAGTATGAAGCTAGGTTTTGTGTCATGTAGTTATTCTGGTAGATTTTCCAGTAGGTTTGCTTTTGCCATCATAAAGCTTCTATAGAGCATATATTGAGTTGGGAAATGTTTTTGCCACAAAAGCAGAGTTGAGACTCGCCATAAAACATTTTATTTTAAAATCTGTGTTGAGTTACAAGTATTCTTGGAACACAGATAAATGGCTCACGCACATATCATGAAGGCAAATTTGAGCAATAATAAGGGGTTGTGCTTACACACAAGTTTTATTCAAAAACATTCAAAGATTAAGTAAGACACAGTAGTTACAACAACATGCAGAATCCAGGCATAAAGGATAATTAAATTTCACCGTTGATATTTCTGCTAGGGAGGTTGGAACCCTGGCCTCAGAGAATTTTAAAAACATGTTTTAACAAAACAGAATCTCTTAAGAATTGTTGGAAAATGTAAAGAACTATGGTTTTGATTTGCTTCCTCTTTCTCCCCAGTTTTATAAGTTGAAAGATTTTAAAACTGGAAGCATTTAGAGATGACAAAAAAAAATACCAGGAACTTCAGCTTTTTACTTGAATAATGTCTGAAATATTGAGCAGAACAAGCTCCTCGTCCCTCATCATTTCAATTTTGACTGATATAGTCTGTATTCACAAAGGGATTTTTGAAGTAGGTTAAATAAGAACTCCCTAATGAAAAAAATGCACTAGTTTGAAATCAGTCAATTTAATTACTGTGTTTTATGAAGGCCATTACCCATTGCTGATTACTAGGGTGATAAAATCTTTAAGCTTTGGTAGCCTCCATAGGGGGTGAGCTGATCTAAGTAGAGCAAAGTCCAGTCATTATCACCCTAAATACTTGTGTTTCTCATTATAATATTCATTACTTTAGGTTACTGTGAACGCTTTGAGGTCTTTATGTAAGCACTGGTTTATTCCTCTGTAGAAAAACAATGTTATGTTGGTAAGTTAAAACCAAGTGTTCATGTACTTCTACAGTTTAAAATGAGGCTTGGCTACATCCATACACAGAAATGCATAAGTTTATATCTCTGAGTAGAAATTTCCCTATACACACCTATTGATGGCTGTTTGCTTGTCAGTGAGCTTGTATTAGTCTGATAAGAAATGGAAAGGGATATGAGTTACCTTGTTATTTCAGTCTGTTTGGGTACTTAAAGAAGCTGGAATGGAGGCTTATGTTCCTAATAACAATCTTTATTAGGGAAGTACTTTTCAAGAGGGAAAACTGAGCCGTGATCTAATTAATCTGTGTTACCTAAGGCTGGTTGCTGAGGATTGGAGATCTTTATCTGCAGTGCCAGCCTGGGCCCTTGTGCTTCCCTTTCTCTGCCACCCCTTGCGTATCATGTGGCATCACTGGCTCTCTGCCCTTCTCAGTCTCCCTTGTCGTGTGTTTCAGACTTACAAAGCAGCTTCATAAAACTGCTGTTGTTTAAAAGATCAAACCTTTGCAAATGCTCTTAGCACTTTTGGTTATAAAAGAAGCAGCCTCTCATCCTACCTTCTATTATTTATTCTTCCCTTTTTTTTTCCCTTTTATCTCTTCCAGGTCATATTCTAGTTGCACTGTGAGTGCAAAATCCCTTGCTCTTATGTTTAAAAAAGTATTTTATTTTAAAAAAGAACTCTTGAAATGTGTCAGGGAGGGATGTGGATGTGGGTTATGGGGAGAGGAGAGTATCCGGTAGAAAGGGACTGAAGAACTTGGTGTGACTAAGCCAGGGAATCATGAGCCTGGCAGCAATATAGATGTTCCATGTTCTTGCAGAGTGCTTGGGGCCAGAGGAGGAGACCTAGTGGAGCTGAGGACGTGCTGCCACCAGCGTGTGTGGCTGCAAGCTGGCCATGTACTCATTTGAGTCAAAAATTAAAAGAATATTTTTAACTGTCAGAAGGCTGAACTCCCAGGCCAGGTAGAGATGGTGGGACAAACATCCTCCCAAAGTGGAGCCTGTCCCCAGGACTTTGTGATGTGCTTGTGTGTGATGCAGACGTGGGTCACACCTGGTGTACAGGGTCACTCTCCTGCCCATGCCCCGGGTGTTTGCTTCCTCCTGGCAACAATGCTTTCTTCTGTTTCTCTCTCTAGATAAATGGACATGAAATTCTACTTCCATTTTTTACTGTTGTGAATGTTACTTGTTTGAATGAAAGGAGGAAGTGTCAGATTTTTAATGAAAGTACCTTTTTTTCTCATTTGTTGATTAGACAGTGAAATTAATGGGTATTAGTGAAAACAGACAGAAGGGGTGGGGGTTTTAAATGGTCATCTTAAGAACTCAGTTGATTCTTTATTCTTAGCTTCCACTTGCTTACTATGAAATATTTCAGCAGTTCTCCAGAGACAGCTTAGTAGCTCCCCAGAGAATTTCATGGGGTAAAAAGACATGAGATTCCAATAGGATACAAATATCTTTGAGAAGAATCATTCAGCTTCTTATCGTATGAAATAAAAACCTTGAGAAACCCAGTGAACCAACCAAAAAAACTCTGGCCCTAGTCCTTTTTATTCATTTGCACACTACTTTTAGAGCTGACTTATGTTTCCTTTTCCTTTGCAAAAGCCTAGATCCTCCCCCTGCAGAGAGGATCAGAGAGAACAAGCCACATGTGACAGGAGTTAATCATGTAGCTTAATACACTATTGGAAGGCGCTCAGATAACGAAGTGATGAGAGCAGCAGAAGAGAATCTGTAAGAGATCATTCCCTTTCTGCACAGTGCAGCCTGCAGGAGGGGGAGAAGGGAGAGCCCTATGTGACTGTGTTCCTGATGGTATTTTCCTGCTGAGCTGGGAAGCACTGAGAAGGGCAAGAGAAAAAGAGCAAAGGGAAACCCAGATCAGACATACCCATCTGTCTACATGGACACTACTCAGGCTACACTACTAGTTCCTCAGTTACTGCTTCTCCTGAAAACTTGTCAAGAGACTTAGTGGAAAAGAGAATCTGGGTCCAGGCTTTCTGAGGTAGCTGTAGCTGAGACAGGGGTCTCAGCTTTAGCTGGTCTGCCCCCATCCTGACCCTGTACTGTGGAACACGGTGGGGGAGCAGAGCTGTAGTCAGTGCATGTGTCATGTGTATGTGTCACAGAGTATGTCTTTTAAATATCTACTTAGTCTATTGGGTGACATTTTCTCTGAATTTCTTTACCCCCTTTCTGATGTAAAAAGAAATGTTACTGAAGAATGTCCATAGAAAAATGTCCATGAGTATGGAAGAGGAGAATTGCCAAGTATGAAATTTAGTTTAAACTCAGTTTGTGTGCAGCAATTTGCAAATTTCATAGAAATCCATGACTTATCATTGTGGAGTTAAAACACTTCTGAGGCAAGAGCTGTTTTGCATAATTAATTTTTTTCAGAGGGCTTCTGTGGTTTTAACCTGTCACATCCAGTAGCAGTTTTCATTTTGAGAATCCTTAACTATGTTTTCAATCTTTATGGATTGCAGAATGGTCTGTCTTGTGATCATGAAAAAATACTTAATTTGTGACTTGGAAAAAAACAGTTAAAATATCAACTGAGGATAAATCTGGGCCTTAATATATCCGATTTTGCAGCTAAAATTCTATATTCTGTGTTTAATTTAAATGTGAAATCTATCCTGCAGTGCCTAAAGTGATGGAAGAATCTGTGTCTGAAACGGAAAAAAAACCATCCCAAAACAACAAAATAAAACCCATTGCTATGTCATGATGGATGAGCTCTTGCAGATAACGGGATGTGTACAAAATCTCAGAGAAGGCAGCAACTCTCCTGCTGACTAAAATCTTTGAGCAGTTTATAAGCTGCTGTGGTGAGAGTCCATTTGCCAGCTCAGAGCAGGAAAGCTGTGGCAGTAGTTCTTTAAAGTTCCTGTTCTGACAGGTTTCCTGGCATGAATCATGGCATGGACGTGGCCAGCTTGGTCTGGAGGGGAAGCAAGCTGAGCTGAATATGATTTATTTCTTCCCTGAGGCAACAGTCCTTCACACAGCTGAACTTCCAGGGAGGTACCTTTGCCAGTGCAGCCACCCCACAAGCCAAAGCTTGGTGTTCCAAGGGAGAACGATGGGCCCATTCTTCCAATCAATGTAGTTGTCAGTAAAAAAAAAAAAAAAAAAAAAGAAGTAGGTATTGGAAAGTATTGGAAAGTACCTTCTAGTT